CAATATCCTATGCATAGCATGGATGAATCCTCTCTAACCAAAGCACGATTTTATTCGGAAGGTATCGAGTCTATAGAAAAACAATAAACAAGTAGGATCACACCCGAATCCATCCACCATGTCAATACCTATACTTTTACCAAATTAGGCTCAAATATTAATATGACAATTTTCTTTCATGCTTTGTTTTCTTTTCCACCACAATAGCTTTTTCTTTTAATGTCCTTTTATTTCTACAGAACTAACATTTATCATTCCATGATCAATGTCTTTTCATGTATTGTTCTGCCTTTCTTTATTAGCCTTATACACTTTTTTGCCGCCTAGTTTCTTCTTGAAACTATTCTTACTATCACCGCAAGATAAGCTGATTCAGTTTTAACACCCTTGAGTCGCTCTATTTCAATCACACAAAGTGCTAACAGTTGATTAATGCCATATTTAACTTCTTGTGAATTGTAATTCACCTTGAAAAGCTGGAAAAACCTAAGCAGAGAATAGATCACCATGTGAACTAATAACTTTTCATCAAATATGATTTTGTACTACCTCATATCATAACCAGCTTGCACATCATATAGATGTACTCCCTCACTAAACCATTGCCATCATATCCGACTAACATAAACCATGTTAGATAATAGTATTGTAGTTGCTTCTTAATGTCCATTAACTCTTTCTTGATAAAATCAAGAAGCTCATTAGCAGTATGAAAACTAGAATACCACCCTGAATAGTATCACCAATAGAAGCATAAATTAACCTAATGGTATGGTAGTACCTTTAGTCCATAAAAAATGTAACAATTTTCTACTTAAGAAGACTCTGCACTGGGCATATGGGTTTCTTCTTCAAAAAAACATAGACTCATGGTCTAAGAAACCCTATATAATATCAAAACACGTCTTCTAGGCAATATAATTTTAACCATTCAATGGTTCAATCCCTATGAGCTATCTTTAAATTACAGAAGCGTTTGTAACCAGAATAAATGTTATATTGAATAACACAACATAAATAACATATAAAACAATATGTCATAGCTTCAGAGATTATTACTTTAATTCATACTTGGGGTTTTAAGCTGAATTTCTTAGGGTGTTTTACTATGTGCAAAACTGTCCACCCTGCGGGAACAGATAAAATGTCATCTAAAAATCACCTTTTGTCAGAATTTTAGATTTTACTTTACCTCCCAAACCTGCGATAAAATATCATATAGACCTATTTGATTATAATTAAATTATTGCTAAACACTTTCACTACCTTTTGGCAAAAGGGTTATTTAGTTATAATCGAAGCACTCTCAAATATTCTACTCACTTATCCCACACTAAGACATTGTTCACCTTTTGGCAGAGCAAATGTCCTCATGTAGGTAAGTGCACTGTGAGACCTCAATAAGACCAATGTCTTAAAATTTAATAAAATAATAACCTCCATGAGCGTGTTACCTTTTGGCAGGCAGCACCCACTTTAGCTATTACCTTTGAAACGGTTACTTTACCGGTCTTCCTAAACCCCAAGGAAAAACCTAAACTGAAGTTCCATTTATTTAAGTTAAACAATTGCTTTATAATGCACATAAACTAAACCCAAATATTATGGAACACTTAATTTCACCGTAATATAAATAGCTTTAACATAAATAATATTAAGCCTCATCAAACATACTAAGAAATTACAGTGAACAATATAATAACATGCACATCAATTAAGATTTAAAATCTTAATTCTTTATATACTTTAATTAAAATAAAATAACAAAACTTGATACATGTATATTATATATTTGGTAAACAATTTAAAGTATTAGAATCTTTAAATCAATCAAGTTAATATTGCTTGTTTATAGCATGCAAGTCCTTATAAATTGTTCAACTTAAAATTAAACAAATATCATGAATTACTTAATAAAATACTGAACATAGAGCACGGCTAGATGGTCACACAACTTCATGCTAAACTAAATGTTCACTTGTACATGTAATTCAAAATATATACCTTATATCGATACATGTAGTATAAGTATCAACAATGATGTCTAAAAAATCCAAAAACACATATAATATAATATTGAATATTAAATTATTATTTAATAAACAATAAAATAATGAAATCTTTAAGCCATCTACCAAAACCATGATAGTACGTATTGTGCATCATCCTTAGGAGTCTGTATATGTCTGAATGCTTGCACACAAGCAGGTGGAGTTGTCAAAACTATAAACAACAGCTATTAAAACTTTAAAATACAATTATCTTGTTTGGCTATTAACAAAAAAAAATAACCATATACAACCCTATTCACTATAACTTATAAATCAACTAGATTGGTGACTTTGTTCACATAAAAGTGTAGGTGTGTATATATATAGCCATCCACACAGTCTATCATGGTTCATGATTTCGTAGACATACATATGGACATATGGTCACATCAAGTAATGTTTTACTTTTATTATCAAAATTTGCAATCTAAATATAATATTATATTTAATGCACAATTCAAAAGAAATAAATGGATAAACCATTCAAACTTTTTGAGTGAATGAATAAATATTCATGTATCAAACAGATTCTGCCTGCCATGGATGTCTAATCATGTAGGCTTACATTCACACTATCAATGATTATTTCAAGACTAGTAACAACAGTGAGAAATCTGTCACCACATATAATGCCAACACATCATGGATTGGGCTATCAGATCCATGTATATATCTATCATTCACGGCTTAGGAAGTCTAGGTGCGTTGGATATTTAATAAATATTTCGCACTCATAGAGGCTAAACCATATAGATAATTCATCAAATTAAATAAATTGATTATTTCTCGTGATTTCTACAATAGAAAGTTATAAATCTAACTTGATACCAATGGTTAGGTTTAAATAAATAATTCACATGTAAAAATCAAGAATATTACAATTAATTAAATAGGTAATTTAGGCTCGTACCTAATTAATGATTAACGCACATATACTTTTGAGAATTCCTTATGATCCTTTGAGAAATTTGAAAAAATAGTGCGCTTTACTCCATTCGGAAAGTTGTAGATACGATAGGTCTAAATAAGGGTTTTAACACCCTTATATATAACAAAAATAGGGAGGACGACTTCTCTATAAATATGCATATTTAAGTCCAACGGTATAAAACCATACTCCCAATTAGATCACCAAATTAAAAAATACAATTCATTTCATCAAGTATCAATAATCACATTACAATCTTATTTTAAAAAACGTAATACATAAGATCATAAAATAATTTTTATTATTTAAATATATATATATAAATTCCAACAGAAGAAACTTTAAAAGACTTGAACACCACCATCCGCAAAACGACACCTCCATAATTGTGAAAAAAAGCAGCATAAACATTACATTAAACGGACCCAAAGTCTGGAGAGTCCACTGCGCACAACTTATTTTAGTTGGGAGTTGGTAGAGTATGCTTGTGTTGACCGTTGACACGCGTTATTGGTGGTAGTCAACATGCATGTGAAGACCAACCAAAAATGTTCGTGGATTTTAGGTTGGTACAAGTCTAACGATTGTTTTTACCTAAAAAAAAAAAGAAGAAAAAAAAAGAAGAGAGAAGTCTAACGATTGTTTTTGTTGTTCACATATAGTTGGTCAAATATTTTTGGTAGATAGATAAAACTCATAATCATGGGCTGCTTTTGGTGTTTTTGGTAACAAATATTCGCACCTCCAAATTTTAATTAAGTATTTTTATTCTGAAAGTAAATAAATAAAAATATAAAAAATTGAATAGAACCCTCCTACTATCTTCTTGTGTAAGTAAAACTTTTATATATTTTAAAAATAATATGAACTTGTAAAAAAAGAAATTACACGTGAGAGAGAAATATTGTACTCTATATAACTTCTCGCATCATTGGTGTTAAAATTTCATATTACATAAATATTGTGTATATCTTCTTGCCTTGTAAAATAAATAAATAAATATTGTGTATATAATTCTCTATAACATAACTTTTGTGCATATAATTTCTTGTAACCAGTTTTTGGACTTTTTTTTTTTTCCTCAATACAATTGAACCAAACTGTTTCCTTAAAGGTTTTTTTGAACAAAAAAAGTTTTAAAAAGGAAAAATATAGCCGTTTGTATAAGATGAAAAATATAGATGAATGTAATGATGATGAGATGAATAAATGATTGTTTATATAAAATATAGCGGTTATAAATATATCTGTTAGAAAAAAGTTACAATTTTTTTTTTATTTTTTATAAATTTAAAAATATTAATATTTTTTTGAAGAGCTAAAATGCACTATTAAAATACATGCAATAGCTAAAATTTAGAGACTCCAAAATGACGTAACTGTTAAAAATATTGACATGACTTTTGAAAAATTATGACGTAACAAATGGGAAGAACTAAATTTTAGAGATTTTATTAGAGTTGCTCTAACTAAGGATATAAGGAGAGTCTTTAACGTGACAAAATTTATCATTTCATTAATTAAAATAAATTTTTGAGATATTTGAAAAGTAAAATAATTTTTTTTTTTTTATAAATTTTTCAAAATAAAATAAAATAGAATAAAATACTAACAAAACAAGGTGACTCTTGTCATAAATGAATAATTAGCCTACTCTTTCTAATTTGGTCACACACACATCCTCACTATCATAATGCCACTATCATTTTCAATTTTGACAACCAATCAGGTTAATGGCAGTTACGACCTACGCAGCAGATATAACATGCGCATCGCCTTATTTGACCGCCCATTTGTGAGCGTTGGGTATTTCGGTCATTTTATCCATGTAAATAATTGACTTGGTTTAAAAAAAAAAATATCAAAATACTAAATTACCCCTCAAACAGTAATGCTATCCTTAATAGCCATTTCGCGCGTACATCATACCATTCAATCCCTGACTGACACGCAAGCATTTATAGTGCCCTTTTCGAAGAAGATGTTGAAATCGCAAAGTCAAAACAACATTGAAATTGTCTCCAAAGTCCTACTCGTCTGTGAGGCCTTCCATTCACCAGGGTTAGGTAGAAGCAGACGAATTTGCAGTTTAACTTGCAGGTCTGATTACTTTACTTGTTCACAATACATACATGTGTGTGTATATAATATGTAGAGAGAGAAAGTTGATTTGAACAGCTTAAATTCATGTTATTGGGAGCTAAAATTTAGGGAGAGAGAGAGAGATGGGGGAAAATGGAATCCAAGCGACTTCGGAGAAGAGAGATTCAAAGATTGTGATGCAGAAATCATCCGTCGATGAGTTTTCACATCTGGCTTTGGACATTGGAGGTGAAATCAAATTTCTATCTATTTTGTTTTTGTGAATCTTCATTGTGTAATATATATGTATATAGATTTCTCATATTGGACTTTGATTCTCATTCTTTGAATTTTCTTTTGATTATTCGTCTCTTTTCCACAATACTTTTACCTGAATTTTGTGCTTAACCAACGCAACACGACTTCGTTTAGCCTTGTTCCCTCCTACTTCACTTCCTTCTGAGCTGTTTCGAGTTGGGTTTGGCACAGACTGATTTTGTTTTTTTTTTTTTGAACACTTACTGTTTCTTGCAAGGTTGGGGTATCACAAGTCAACTCAGAACTCCATGGCCATGCATTTAATTTTTAGGCTATGTGATACAAAATTTGACATTTAGCTAAATATGGAAAGTTTCTGAACCTAATTGATTGGACCTTGCTTTGCTCTAAATATTCATTAATTGGGAAATTGCAGTATGTGGTTGATTTCAGGTAGTGATCATACTAAGCAAAATGAACCAATTTTCACGGTGACACATACCCTGTTTTACTTTACTGATTTACTTTTCATAATCATAGTTTAAATGAAACCCCATTTCTTCCTCATCGATTATTTTTGCCATTCTACCAAGCTTTTGCAATTTGGAAGTGAGACTGCCAGTGATGTCGTTTTGCTCCTGTTACCATGAATCCTACAATATTATGCCTTTAAGAGGTGTATTTTTATAAGCACATATTTTAATCAATTTATTTCTCAATTTTGCATTAGTAAAAATATTGTTGTGAAAAACTTATGCTTTTGAGGAATGTTTAGTTTGACCTTTCTGTGATCTTGCTAGTGTTTTCTTTAGATTTGACTACATTGGGGTAACTTGGTTTTGTTGGCAGGTTCTCTCATCAAGTTGGTGTATTTGTCAAGTAATAATAATTGTGCAGCTGATGATGAGGAGGGGAAGAGTCCTCCAAAGGAAGATTTGGGTGTCCCCAACGATGATATCAACTGTCCGGTCCTTGGTGGGAAACTCCATTTTGCAAAGTTTGAAACGACCAAGATCAATGACTGCTTAGAATTTATTTTATCCAAGCAACTTCATCGCCATGGTATGGTTCTTTCATATTATTATTCCAATTCCAATTGGAACTTTTTATGGAATCACTTAACAAACTTGAGATAAATTTGGAACCATATTCAAGGAAGAGTGATTTCTGACCCACACTATTGTATTTCAGTCTTTTTTGAGTGTGCTGGCAGGCTCAGCATAGCTATTTATTAATCCATTCAATTTAAGCATTGTTGGAAGTGAGTTGAGTAAATTTTCTAGCTGACGAGCTTAGGCAAGCCATTTATTGTTACTCTGGCTTTTGTGCCGATTGAACTTGAACTGAACTTTTGAGACTTGAGTAAAAGGTCAACCAGGTTCTTTAAGTTTTCTTCTTATGTGTTAGACTGACTCCAGCTTGTTTATTAGCTTTCTATAAGCTGGTCGATCTGCCGCCTAATTTACCATTTGGGTCTGTACCTGAACCTGAAACTCCCGTCTTTGCGGTAAAAATTAGTATCTACAGTAAATATTTATATCTTTGGAACTTCTATGGTTCTTGCAAACTCTTTTTCTTTTTGTCTTTTCGTTGGAGAAGGTTTTTGTCTAAAAGTTGATGACTACCTCAACTATCGTGGGCTTAATCAAGTCAACAAGTGAAGCATCTTGTAAAGCTTGGCTTGTCAAGCAATTGAATTTCAAACCAAAGGTTGTACTTAGCTCATTTAACAGTGGTAGTGTGCTTCAAAATCACTAGAGATAATTTGTAAAAGACAAGAGTACAGCATGTCTCCATGAGAAGTATAAAGTAAAGTATGTGTCAGAGGTTGCGAGTGCGATATTTCCTAGAATTTCTATTTTCTGAACTTCTATAAATTGATCTTCCCTTAGTTTTTAAAGAGAGCAACCATACTGTCTATAACAGTTTCCTTGTGAATATGATTAAGAGTTGGAACACTGAATTTTACACAAAATTATCTTTCAATTAATTGGGAATTGATTTTGTGAAAAGGTACTATGGTACGCTATATTTGGTAATTGCAAAAAGTGCAAAGGTTGAAAATGATATGTATTCCAAGTGGGCCATCAAAGTTCATTTTAGTGGTCAATGCTAATTAAAGATCATTTCTTTTTTAGCAAAATACAAAAATAAATTTAAAAGTAAAAATTATTAGTTGCTCCCAAGTAGGCTGGTAGGATTTATTCTTTTGAGGTCTATACTTATTTGAGCTATTTCTTCCTTGAAGTTGCTTTCATGTTTGTTGTCGATTTTGTTAATGTTGGTGTCTTGGTTCTACTTCTGATTTTCTTATGGCTAAAGATGAATTCAGGTAATTGGCATCAGGAGGCTGTTTTTAATGACAAGAACATTATAAAGGTAAAGTTTGTTTTTATGATTTTGAAGAGTTTCAATTACTATTTGTTTTATTCTATGATTCCAAGCTTGCCATTCTTGCCATCATATGATACTGAAAATTACATAATAACAAAGGCAATGACCAGAATGTAGTAATTGACAAGACAAGAAAGTATCAGTATTCCGTTCGACAATTGAGTAGGGGCTTTCCTACTGAAATCGAAAAATTTTACTGGAATAATTTATTTATGAGTCACATTTTAATATATTAGCCTATTAGGTAGCAAGAATATTGACCTTTTAACTCAAAGATCATGCTTTGTTTTGAACTGCTAACTGATTCAACATTTTTGCAAATTTCAACCTTCTGTCAATGCTCATCGTAAAAAGCCTTTCACCTTTTAGCTTTGATCCATTCTATTCTCAAGTTATTTTATACCCTAAATTTACATATTCAAATTTAAAATTTGAACTTTGAAATATATAGTTTCCAATGGCTGAGCTCTTTACTTCCTGGCTATTCTTATAATTTTGAGCTGCCATAAGCATTTTCACAGTGAGTGTCAGAAAATATGCTAGTCTTTGGGGCATTTGGATGTCTAAAAGTTGAATTGCCCCATTATGGAATTTTATTTTTATTTTTATTTTTTTTCAGCACCACTTTATATTTAAAATGGAGATGGTCATAAAATTTCATTACCATTAATTTGTGATGGTCGTTCCAATTTCTCCAGTGACCTGTTCAAATTGATGGATGTGTCCTTTGAAACTAGTATAAAATTCAATTTCATCGGATTACTAAGCACACCCATATTCTATAATTATACGAGTAATTCATTCTTTTGCAATAAGACATCTATGTTTATGATACATAATTCGAAACGTACTAATTGCTTAAAATCTTTGTGAAGGCCACAGGTGGTGGGGCTTACAAGTTCGCAGACCTATTTAAAGAGAAGCTTGGTGTTAATCTTGACAAAGTAGATGAAATGAATTGTCTTGTGGCTGGATCAAACTTTCTGCTCAAGGTGAGATCCTAATATTGCACATGTTTTGGTATATACAATTATTGTTTTTAATGCTATCTTGGGTCGATTATCTAAAAGGAAATACAATTATTGTTTTTAATGCTATCTTGGGTCGATTATCTATAAGGAAACTTAGGAAAGAGAGATTGATGAGGATGTTGCCATAGAATTAGAGTAGGATGGATGGAATGTTGAAGGAAAAGTTTTAACACAATTATGAGGCCAGTTATGCATTAACTATTTTTTTTTTCCTGAATTATTTCATTAATATTATGGTGCAGAACGTTGGACAATTAAAAGCAATGTGTTTGAAACACAATTATAGCAGAAATAATGATCTTGTGATAGATGAGTAGCAATAGAATGAAAAATAGACTGAGAAATGAATGCAGCACTCAGCATCTAGAGGGGGCAGTGGCTCCAGTTATGGAGCAGTAACCACTCAGCATGCTTACTGAATAAGTGAATATGTGTAAGGGTCCTATCTTTGAAAGGACTGGTATTCATGCAGACCACTAAACATGATTGGCTACTAAATCCAAATTATGGAGCTGCGACATCAGATGGGTAGAAGGTTATGGGATATTTTAAATAGAAGAATTCTATTATGATGTGCTGTATATTCTCTACTTACATGGTTAGTGCTTGTTCCTAGTATAGCTTCATAATTGATGTTAAAAATTACCTTCACTCTTTTATACATTAAATGCATTGCTTGTTGCAAGTGTGCTGCTACTTTTTTCTTCTTTGTTTTCTGTCAGTGTCAATTGTCATTCTTTCTGTTTGTTGTATAGGCAGTCCACCCTGAAGCTTTTTCATATATGGATGGGAAGGAGGAAGATGTGCAGATTGACCACAACGATTTGTACCCCTATCTCCTTGTAAATATCGGGTCTGGAGTTAGCATGATAAAGGTTATTCTCAACATATATCTTATTCCAATTACTGATTGTATTTTATTCATCTAAGCCTTTTTGAATTTTATAATTTATTGTCAGCTGTCCTTATATAGGTAGACGGAAATGGAAAGTTTGAGCGAGTTAGTGGAACAAGTGTGGGTGGAGGCACTTTTTGGGGTTTGGGAAGGCTCTTAACCAAGTGCAAGAGGTTATTATGATCGTTTTCCTACTTTGGTGTCTTGTTAATCTGCTCATTTGAATTGCCTTTTAATATAAATTTACTTCCTTTTCAGTTTTGATGAGTTGCTGGAGTTGAGTCATTGTGGTAATAACAGAGTGATAGACATGCTTGTTGGAGACATCTATGGGGGAATGGACTATTCAAAGGTACTTTATCTTTCAATACAATTTATTGCAATGTTGTTTACCGTGGAAACAAGTGAACTATAAGGTGCAATATAACTCATTATGCAATATATATCTAGGGGGGGAAGCAGCCAATATCTGCAGAGTGTGAGTTGGGTCCAGAATTTAAGGGAGCCTTAAAATTAAAATAATTGGTAATATGGTGTCAAGTGGCTATCTGATTTAATTGAGTGGTCTTAGGCCATTATTTTTATTTAGATTTTCAGATCCCAAACTTAGGAGCCATTTCCTTCCAAAAGAGGAGCTACGATTTATGGACGTAGTTTTGGAGATCTTTTTGTTCTTAATCATATATATATTTTTTCCACTTTTAGAGGAAATATCTTCCTCTCTACCTCTTTTCCCCTCATTTTATACTAAAATTTTGTTTCCCTGAGAAAAATAGGGTTGATTTCTGGCTAACATCTATATGAATGAATAGTCATGATCTAGTGTAGTACCCCATTAAATGAGGATGTTGCAAAGGATAAACTGAATAAAAATCTAACCTTTGGCATTATTTGCCCAAAGTGAATGTTCTCAGGATCCGAAATCGTGTTCTCACGCTTGACGCCTTGAGCATTTTTTACTTGTGCATAAAGCATCCAAGCGATGACCCCTATATGAATGAATAGTGAAGGAAATTAATTTTCTGAATTCCCAAAATGATGATTACGTTTTATAGACTTCATGCAACGGATTTCTAACCCACTGGTGCCCAACAATCTTCTTTTTTTCATTTTTTTTTTTTTTTTTTTTTTCCGGAAAGAAAGGAAGTGTGGTGAGTGGGAATCATACCCAGGCACCTCTCATGTAATGGGAGCATAGCCCAGTTGATAAATTTATACTAAATTTTAGAATGCATGCTTGCCTAAAACTGATAAAAGATGCAAGAATGCATGCAAAAACTGATAAATTTTTTTTTTTTTTTTTTTTTTTTTTCGGAAAGAAAGGAAGTGTGGTGAGTGGGAATCATACCCAGGCACCTCTCATGTAATGGGAGCATAGTCCAGTTGATAAATTTATACTAAATTTTAGAATGCATGCTTGCCTAAAACTGATAAAAGATGCAAGAAGGCATAGAGATACATTTGTACTAACCTTTTCACAATTTTTTTTTTTTTTTTTTTGATAAGTAATACTAAATTTTTCACATTGCACCTCCACTCTACTTAATTATAGTTATTTGTTATTTATTTAATCTAAATAGAACTTGTCATTTTTTTTCCCAAAACACAACAAACATAAAATTTTAATTATATTAACCATAAGTAATTATACATATGCATATTATATAATATATATGTTATGATTCATAATTCTTTTGTGCTTTTGACTTGTATTATATATATATATTTTTCATTTTCTCTTATCACATATTACATATGGAATGAATATTATTTATTTCATGCATAAATCTATTATTTTCATTAATTTAGTAAAAAATAATTAATAAGCCTTTTTTGTAAGGATAGCCTTAGAATATATAAATAAGTCAATACTTGTGTTACATTGTTTAAATAAATTTCTGTAACGACCGAACCCGTAGGTCCGAACCGTTAGCCGAGTCCTTAACCAAACCCGAGGCCAACTAGGGACAACACCATTCTTTCCTACGTCAATACATATTATACGTGTCATTCCGGGTTTATAAAAAAAAAAAAAAAAAGTAATAATAAATAAATAATTAAATAATAATAATAATAATAATAATAAAATGAGATTATAACTACAAAGTATGTCAAAACGGTCTACGAACTCATCGAACCCTGTGGAGGAGCGTTGTCCGCCACTTGCCATCCGTGTCCTGAAAAATATTAAATATAAGGGGTGAACAAATTGCTCAGTGGGTGGTGCCTAAGACACAGCTCTTGTGACCCCGTGAATCAAAACAATAAATAGAAATAGGAAGCGGGCTCATACTGTGCCGGGAGGGAACATAACATTAATTCCAATTCCAAAATAATAACGCTGTGCCATGAATGTATGCCATGCATGTCACTCCCCATTTTCAGAAAAACATCCATCACTTCACAAATTGTTAATATAACCCGCCCTTTGGTGACTCCGCAGCAACACGAGAGAAGGATTGGCTATTGTCCCTGACCTTTGGTACCTCCGCAGCGTCATTTAGGGCTCAGATAGCTCAACCATGCTAGGGTAGTATGTTTAGTTCCCTCTAGGCTATATTAACACACCGGCCCTTTGGTGACTCCGCGGCGACCGGGTTTTCTCAAAAACACTTTAATCAAATCATTTCCCCAAAAATTTCTTTTCCATTTGTTTCAAGTCATTTTACCCTTTTTCCATGCCCAATGCTATGAATGCATGTCACATGCTTATCATTACTATGAAAATAAATAAATTTCCACTGCACAATTTAACATGCTTCTACATAGCAATTTCTAGCAAGGTCTTAAACATCATGGCATGGAAATTTACACTCATGCGTTTCATACAATTTAATTAATACACATAATCATAGATTTCATTTACAACAATAAAATTATTTTCAAGGCAATCAATTCAAATTAAGTATGTTAATTTGCACAACATCAACTACACATAAAATCATATACTTCATATACACAATTAAATCACTTTAGAGTAAAATCAACACAAATTAGCATGCTAGGACACTAATTAAATAAAATTAACTCACAAAGGTGCAAAATTTTGTGGATTAGAGACCCCTACCTTGAAAAGACTCATCAAACTTCAAGCTTCGGGCCTCCTCAGCTCCTCTCTATCCTCAACTCTTGGTCATCTATCTGCAAACTCACTCTGTATCACTCTTTCCGTCTCAGCTCTCTTTCTCTGTGTACTCTCGGTTCTCACACTGCCATCTCTCTAATTTTCTTTTATTTTTTTTTATTTTTTTATTTTTTTATTTTTTATCACCATCTGACACAATATATGTATATATATATATATATTATAGATACAATAGCACAAAACCAATAAAATCTTTAAAAATCTTCATACATATCATCACCAACCACATAGTAGCCCACGTGCACAAATCAAGACCAAAAGAGTTTTGGTCAAACAAAACTCATAGTGGGACCCGCGCCAAAAAGCCATCATTAAAAAAAATCAAAATTTCTTTCTCACACAAATTTCGGCAACCAGCCTATCCAACCTTTAAATGATATATATATATATATATATATATATATATATATATACAAGTGTAAAAACCAAATCAACCCAAATCTCTCTTTTCTCGGATTCTGCTCCACCAACAAATATGCAACAAAATTATAAAACTGAAGTCTCTAATTAAGATCACTAAAAATCGTAAAATAAATTAAATTAAAATTCTAAAAAACATTCGGGTTATCACAATCTCCACCACTTAAAAAGAATTTCGTCCTTGAAATTCAGATCCAATAGTCTGTATACCTGAAAACACCAATAACCACAAAACCAAATCTATAAATCTTTACCCCAGACGATGTGAAATACAGTGATATGTAGGACGTTGTGGTAGCTGCTAGTGCTAGTCACCCGCTCACATACTCCGTAACCGTTGTGATAGTTAGTCGATGCGTCACCCGTCCACTAAAAAAAACAAACAATAACAAATCTGGGCTACCTGCCCAACCACACTAACCAACCATCCAGTAGTTGCCGGTGAACGCCATCCGCCCACACATACCCGGTTACGAGTGGTAACTGAGCAGTACTACACACTCGCCCACTCACACCCGTCTACATCATCATTACACTCACACTTCCGGCTGAGTACAGGCTAATAAAATCCTCAATTCATTCAAATACAAATACATCATTATAATCCCGTTATCATAAGAAAACTGTCCTCTTTTATACAAAATCAATTTCCTCAAATATGTACAAAATTCCCCAAATAAATAAAATAAATCCTCAATGCCAACTCTTCAGCCTAAGCCCGAATCTACGATCCCTGTCCATCTTCGGTACCTGAAACTGGAGGGTGGTGAGACAAGAAGTCCCAATAGGAAAAACCATAACAAGAATTTCGATAATTAATGATCGTACTGTAAACCCTTTATCGGACACATGGTTCACCTAACACACCTCGTCACCTGAGACAAACCATTTGAATCTACATTGTTACACCGACACGACACACAGTACCATGCTCTCGCTGTCCCTGACAAGTTTAAACAATCATTGATCTTTGACCATTGACCTGACATCGTGCTAAAGAGGGACTGATTCAAGAGAAATGGTTGGCTAGGCCATTCTCATCCTCGATCCGATCTCAGCACAGATGCCGTTCCTGTCCTTACGTCCAAACCTCAAACACAGTCTCACATAGTCCACAAAACAACCAAGAGATCCACTCACTATCCATCCGTCGTCCCACATAATCTCAATAACTATACAGTCACACACCGACTCTAAAAAATCTCAATAGCTCCTCAATCATGCAAATCGTAGCAAGTCAAAAATAACATAGCACCAAACGTCACAATTATCAACCATTACTAAAGATCTCTAATTTCCTCATAACATCCACACCAGGTAACTCATAACATTACTCGATTCAATTCTTACCTTGTTAAAACACACAATAAAACCATCTCATGCTTAAAACCTCAAGACACCGCTCGAATCAAATGTCTAGAAAAACACCCAAGTACATGACTTACATCACATCACCTAATCATCCTTAAACTTCCAGTTCACGACACACCCCTAGCCATCGCCGCTCGTACCAGGCACCGGAAACACACAATCCTTATTCAGCAACTCGTGCCTCACACACCACCGGTCAAGACCACTCTCAGAACAAGTACTACAAAAACCAAAGACTCCACCTCCCTCCGTGGAAGTGAGTCAACCCATTCAACCAAACCTTTATCGGTGAACTCTAACCGCATAAGAAACCACACGTAGGTCTGTCTATCTGCGGACACGCACAATTCCTAAATGGAGAACAAGGCTCACGATAAACGACATACTTGCCAGGACTAGAACAAACGGAAAGGGTAACAAACCCTACTCTCACAAAAGACTGACGACTCACATCTGAATGCACCTGACACCTTGTCACATGCTACTCACTTCGTCCAACTGTGGACACCCAATCTCATCTGAGATGAAATGAACTCCTTACACACAAGGAGGAGAACCAACTAGAAACACATACGAGACTACGAATATAATTCTAGGCGACCTTGCCACTGACGGACCGTCAAACACTAACACGGAACGTCACATATGCTACACCGAAATACTTATGCCAACCAAAACCATCCAGATAAGAGCACTAATGCTCACGATACTCGATCACTATAAATAATCAAAAACCTTTCGGACACCGTGTCCCATCCCATCTAGAAACCGTCACTCCCAAATGACAACCTCTAAGCCGTAAAATGACTCTTTACCACCCATTCCACCTTCACCCTTCAAAATGACACTACCTCGAACACCGTGCACATAAGACCTGTGACCTCAGTCACAACAGTCCACTGACTCTTTAAAAGAAAAAGGTGTTTATCCGGCAACATAACTCTCGCTGGTTCTAAAGACTAAGCCGTCCACAATCGCCTCAACTAGGCACAATCTCATTACCTACCGGATAACATACAACAACACTCACAATTTTAATCCATCCTTGGATTATACCTGAAACCATTATACTCATCAACGCTAAACATCATGCCATAACGCTTCTACTGTCACTCATTCAGAACAACGATTCAACCTATCACCCCACCAGACCATCAAGCCACAACTAAGCAATTATTCCTTAAACATCCTTAAAATAATACCATCATAACAAAAGAATAAGCATTACTCTCAATACTCCCCCACAACAACCACTTTTTATCATTTGAAAAGAACCTCTATACGGCAATGTCATGCCGACAAACCTTCAAAACAAAATGAGCACAAATCTCAAATGCTCAACAACCAATTGTCACCTTAATACCATCAACGATGCCCTCAATCATTAACGGTTAACCGACAACATCGAACCACTCTTTCTAAGCGATCTACGCATCCAAACAAGGAAATTTCATACCCTAAGTTCAACATTGTTACTTTTCCTCATTCTCGTTCCTTAAAACATTATTGGCCCCGACAAAAATCAAATAGGGCTACCAACTAATCTACAAGATCAACCTCGTCCCAATCACTCCAATCATTAGTCTATCTCTTCGAATCCTCAAGCACTATCTCTTGATACTCCAGATCTAATCTGAAATACAACCCTAATCCACAGCTTTCAAATTCTAGAACATAATTCATTTGATAACAAAATACTCACCGGCTATCACTTCATCCATAAATAACCAAGCACTCCAGTGACCTCATACTACCTACCTTGTCGTGTAACCCTGCCCTACACAGATAAAACTGACCACCATACTTCACTTCGAGACCTTCTAGACAGCTGCACCAACCCAAAACCCCGCTCATCAACTGAGCCATGCAACCGTCTCACTGAGAGTCGATTACCCGTAACACGCTCCTGTAACTATCCAAAATGAGAATCACTCCTCGACAAACTAACCTCTATAACAGACTCCTGCAAGACCATGAAATGATCTACATTCCGCAACTGGTCCTGAATCATCATAGACCTACAGAATCCAACAAGTTCCCACGACAATCAAACCAACACACTTCCTTAAGCCATTCCAAAATGCTCGAAATACATATTTACAGTCCATAGACTACATTCGTGATTCAAACAACCCCCGTCACACCTACCACGACCGGTTTGAAAAGAACCTCCACACCAAACCGTGACCTAAGTTGCAAACACTGACCTCCTAAGGTCATACCGACACCCTTACTCGTACATTTGACCCCCATGGTCACCAGAACCCATACACCAAAACATGAAACTCACACACAATAAGGGCACCTTGCCATGAAATATGAACTCGTTCTAAAGTCGTGCTCTAAGCACCACACAAAATGCAACTAAGAAGATCAGGATGACTACACGCCAAATAGCTCAATCCACGAGCTAGAAGACCACGCCCTTAGTTCGACAAGAACCAGCACCCAAACAACCCTGGAGCAACCGAGCTCCTCGCCTACTCAAGTCAAACTTACACAATCCTCAATGCCGTGACAAAGACCCCCACCGTACTAGCAACCATCCCGTACATGTGATCACACATACATAATAATCGTACTTCATACCATGATATAATCGTGTCCCATAATTTAAAAGTAAATAAACACCCCGTCTTTCATTTTAAAAAAATAATACTTGCATAACCATGCCTAAATATTCGTCACAATACCATACGAGACATACTTACACCTACCGTACTCACTATTTGCCACATTATCATTTAAAATAAAATTACACACACCGTGCTTACCACTTGTCGTTATCATACTTGTCGTACCTATCATCTCATCGCAATTAACATGCTTTCAATTACCTCACATAAATATACTGCATACATGGCTATGTAATAAAGATTTTAGCATTTAAACAAGTAGGCATGTGATCATATAAACAAGTAAGCAATTAAGCATACTTCTCAAATAATTAAACATTTTAACACATAAACTCGTAAACTATGCAATCACATTCCACACAAGCCGAGGTAGGCCTCTACCCGTCGTCCTACTGGTTTTCGAACCATTGCTCTGATACCATCTTGTAACGACCCGAACCCTTAGTTCCGAACCATTAGCCGGGTCCTTAACCGAACTCGAGGCCAACTAGGGACAACCCCATTCTTTCCTATGTCAATACATATTATACGTGTCATTCTGGGTTTATAAAAAAAAAAAAAGTAATAATAAATAAATAAATAAATAATAATAATAATAAAATGAGATTATAATTACAAAGTATGTCAAAACGGTCTACGAACCCTGTGGAGGAGCGTCGTCCGCCACTTGCCATCCATGTCCTGAAAAATATTAAATATAAGGGGTGAGCAAATTGTTCAGTAGGTGGTGCCTAAGACACACCTTTGGGGACCCCGTGAATCAAAACAATAAATAGAAATAGGAAGCGGGGTCATACAATAAATAGAAATAGTACCAAGTCGACATGTATTAATTATCTATTGTGTATAATGAGTTATAGCAGGTTATTTATGTGATTGTAGTAGCTGTTTAGTAAATTCGAGATGGTTCATGTTGTTACCAAAAGATCATGTCTTGTAGTATTTTTGCATCGCAGCATGATACTGGAAGCAATGTGTTTGATGAGACTTGGATATGTCAGCTGTTTAGCTTAGGTTACAGATATCTAAATTTTGACACCTAATTGAAAGATCTGATATGGACCTAATGCATGTAACACAACATATTCAGTAAATGCTAAAAAACTGCTTTATACATCATATTCTATTTACATCTACGGCCAAAAACTTTCACTATTATGTTGAAAGTGTAAGTTGTCTTGAGTCGTATATGTGCCAGTTGAAGAACAGATCTTGAAGTGTATTACAAGAATTTTTGTGGATGTTTTAGTTCAGTATTTGTACTTCAGTTGTGCTGAAGTGTCCATGTAACTTAAGTCCCAATTAATTGTGGTTGATGAGAACTTACTGGTTTCCATGTTCATTTTACATCTTATAATGATTAATTGCAAACTATTTTTCCAATGATAACAGATTGGCCTCACATCAACAACAATTGCTTGTAGCTTTGGCAAGGCAATTTCTGAGAATAAAGAACTTGAAGACTACAGACCTGAAGATATCTCCCGATCGCTCCTAAGAATGATTTCAAATAATATTGGGCAGGTAATGTACAATGAGACTACTTTCTCTCAAGCAATGAATTATATTTTGAGCAGCAGCTCTTCTCACGCTAGAAAATGGTCTGATGAAATTTATGTGTCAGCATATATGAGACGCACATATAATGCTACGTATATTTGTATGAATTATATTTTTATGTAGTTACAGGAACTATTATAAGCTGCATAATGGGTAGCATGAGTTCTTGAAAGCTCCTTATAATCTACATATGCAAGAAAAGATAATCCTACAATTAAAAAGCAAGAAAAGATAATCCTACAATTAAAAAGACTAGTGGCATTTGGCCCTTTGCATTTGAACCAACAAATTGGGATATCTCAATTCCCTTGCACATTGTGAAGTCATTCTATCGTTTCCCTTTATATACTTTCTACGTGACAATTCCTTTTCTTCTTTTGCAACATTTTGTTCATATTCTATTTTGATTTATTACTTGATCTCTCATCAGTAAACTTAACATTTGAATTCTCTAAGTTCATTTTCTTATATTTACCGAAAAGTGACATTATATAATTCAGTGTTAATAAAGGAAAGAGGAACACATCTGTCACAGTAATCTTCACCTATCTAGTCATTGTGCAAAGAACTTGATGAGCAAATATGTGGAATTTCATTGTCATAATTTTTTCATTCAAAATGCACTTATTGAAACTTATTATCACGGGATCTCCTCTTGTTGTCTTATCTCAAAAATAAAAAATCAATTTCTTAATAATCTTCCAGGTTTATTTTTTTAATACCATAGAGTTTCTGATATTTTTGTTCCGGTAAATAGAGTTTCTGATATTGGTTTACTTATTATTCATTCCCCAGATTTCTTATTTGAATGCGCTCCGTTTTGGACTCAAGCGGATATTTTTTGGAGGATTTTTCATTCGGGGTCATGCTTATACAATGGACACAATTGCTGTTGCAGTTAATTTCTGGTAACTACGGGGAGCTTATTCTATATTTTGATACTTGGTCTTGTAGTAACTGTAAATTATTTTTCCTTGCTCTTTATAAAAATGTGAAATCTAAGCTGGCACTCTAGCATTTTAAGGCACAAGTGCATCCTTAGTAAAAATTGCTGCCAAATATTTAAGATCATATTAAATCTTAAAATTTCTGAATACATTATGCGTGCAGACAAAATAGATTTTTGAATTTCCTTTTTAATGAAATAAAATGCCATTGTGCTCTTCCTGATCCTTCTTCCTTACTTGCTCCACATTTTCTGACCCTGGTCGTCGTCAGGAACACTTTTGCATTGCTTCTCTTTCTTTTACTTTTCCCATGTCCATTTTTCTCACACGGACTTCAATTGAACGAATATATTCCTGCTTCTCAGGTCAAAAGGCGAGGCAAAGGCAATGTTCTTGCGGCATGAAGGGTTTCTTGGAGCATTAGGTGCGTTCGTGAGCTATGAAAATCACGGTCTTGATGACTTGAAGGCCAATTAGTTAGCGGAATGAAAACAGCATTATACTTCAGACGTGGGAGATAAGATTCGCAGCCACACTACCTGGGAATTTGAATGAAAATAAAACCATAGCGTTGCTCAATGACATGGAATGTTTCCATAACATCTGTCTGATAATCTATCCCTGTTCCTAGATTTGTTCTATGGGATTAACCCATAAGCATTGATAACACCTACTTGACCACAAAACACATCGAATACAAATTATTAGAATTATTTATACTATTGCATAAAACAAGAACACCTTCCCAGTGTTCCCACTTTACTGGAGCAGTGTTGTGCTTTTCCCCTTCGCTCTTTTTCTCTCTCTTTTTATTTTTTTATGAGGATAGCTTTTCAAGATGAAGCATTGTAACTTATTTCTTGTTCTTTTTATACGAGGATATGAATATGATGGGAATTCAATAATATCATGCAAGTCTACAAACATTTCTTTTGTCTATCTTTCATTTTCTAATTTTATTCTTTTTTCTTTAGTTACTTGATGCTTTTGTACAGAAGAGGTGAGAATACTGTGAACAGGTATATATATAATCATTTGTACGATGTATAGGACAGATGTCACGGATCCTCTGCTGTCGTGCAGTATAGTTTAGGGGGACGGCTAAGATCAAGGTGTGGATGATCTTAGCTGTCCACAGAACGGTGCTGTTACAACAGTGGATCCAGCTTCATAGGACAAAACTGCACCTAACATAAGAATTAAGCCTCCTCTCTGAAGGTAAAACCTCTGAAAAATTGTGAGAACGTGTCAAAATTACATTTCAAATTAATTGAAAGATTCAGAGCTCACTCGTCGTGAGGTGAGATGAGACGAGCCGAGCTGACTCGACTGAGCTTTCTAATCTCATTCAGTCAAAAATGTGCTCGAGCTCAGCTCGTTTTCTTAGTAAAATCAAACTTTAATTGAGTTGACCACGAGCTATTCAAGCTGGAGTATCGTTTTATTGGGCTAGTGTAATGGACTGTTCTGAACTATGTAATCATTAGCTTGTGGGAGAAACATTGCAATGGTGGAAAACAAATGCTGAATCACAACCAAGTTCTCGTTTTAATCTGCATAATATAACCTGTTAAGACTAAACAAGATAGTTAACGCTGAATATGAGCTAACCTAAACTCCACATTCCTCTAGCTCCAGGTACAGAATACAGATCAAGAACATAAACCAATCAAACATTAAGACACAATTTCAAGTTTCATTGAACAACTAGTACTTATAGATCATGATCCAATCATGTCTCACAATTTTATTCACTTCCCAAACACATCGTCACACACACACACACACATCTTCACACAATCTACAGATGTCTCACACTTTTATTCACTTCCCAAACACATCTTCACACAATCTACAAAGACCCCTTATATAGAGCATCACAAACTGTTACAGTAATCTACATGATTCTTGTGCAAATGCTAGATATGGCTTCCTCGTGCTTTACGGCACACACCGCCTTCACAGGTCCATCCCCCCTCCGCTTTTGCAGTACCCCCTTCACCATTCTCCTTCTGAATCTTCTGATCATCCTTTAGAGCACACTTGGGATGGAGATCAAAGTCACATTCCTTACAATAAAAGGACCAACCATGTCCCGACTCCCTACAGCCGTTACAGACATAACCATTCCTACGAGTGCGTGTGAGCTCATGCTTCACATGGCGCTCGTCTTTCACCTTCTCAGGCCACCCCTTTGCAATTTCATCAATCCTTTCCTCCAATATCTTGATATGATCGTCGGTGAAGGGATAGGCATCTGCGCCATGAGATTGTAAGAGCTGCCTGGCTTCTGGAGCGACTGTCAGGCCACTAGCTCCAATGGCTATGGCAGCAGGAATGCCTCTGATTTTGAACCTGCGCTGGAGGAACGCCTTCCTCTTATCACCAAAAGGGAGAGCCAACCATGGCATGCCTGAAAAGAAGTCATCGAAAGCGGATTGATAGCGATCACTTGAGATGAAAATAACTTCAAATGCATCATCTTTTGCCTTAATCTCGTGGTAGGCTGTGATAAGTGTAGGCAGAAAAGTGCGGCATGGAGGACACCAATGTGCTGAGAAATAGAGGAGGATGTTCTTTCCAACAAGTTCAGATACAGGGACCTAACCAAGAACAAACCACAGACACCAAAGTTCCATCACTTACACCACTTTGTGTAATTGGCAATATACACATTTACTAAGATTTGGAACCGGTTTGATTTCAGAATTTTGAAAATGAGAGAAAACAGTTTCTAGAGAACTAATATTTTATTTTTAACTATGCTATCGGAAAACAATTTTCAGAAAACCCTTGATTTCCGAAAAGAGAAGTTAAAAAGTATACCTCAGAACCACCTTTTCCGATCACAAAGTCACGATCCTCAGAGACCAAAATTGACTCTAGAGTTTGTGATTCAAGTTTTGCCTTCTCTATCTCAGCGAGCTCAACAAGCCTCTCCGGTGTAAAAGGGTAGGCTTCAACACCATGTTCTTCAATAAGTTCAGCCACATTGGAGTGCAGAGTCTTCCCATCTGGACCGATTACAACGAGTGTAGGAAGCGCCCTAAGCTCAAAGTATCGGACAAGCTTTTTGCAGCTCTTGTCCTTGAGAGGCAAGGCTAACCATGGCATCTTTCCAAATTCTTGTTTGAACTCTTCTTCTTCATCATCTAGAGATATTAACACAACTTCAAAGTTCTCTCCTTTCTCCTTGAGTTTCTTGTAAACCTCCCCAAGTTTCGTGGTAAATTCAAGGCATCCTCCGTGAGAACCTATGAAGAAATACAGGCCAACCATCTTTCCTTCAAGCTCTGGTACAGGAATCTGATGATAAACATAGTGAAGATCATTGACAATGCCATTGGACATACTATGAAAACTAGGCCTCGGGCAGAGTTAGCAATAAATGAACAAAAACATTACCTTATTACCCTCATTTGAAATCACAAAATCACGATCCTCAGAGACCAAAATTGACTCTAGAGTTTGTGATTCAAGTTTTGCCTTCTCTATCTCAGCGAGCTCAACAAGCCTCTCCGGTGTAAAAGGGTAGGCTTCAACACCATGTTCTTCAATAAGTTCAGCCACATTGGAGTGCAGCGTCTTCCCATCTGGACCGATTACAACAAGTGTAGGAAGCGCTCTAAGCTCAAAGTATCGGACAACCTTTTTGCAGCTCTTGTCCTTGAGAGGCAAGGCTAATCATGGCATCTTTCCAAATTCTTGTTTGAACTCTTCATCTTCATCATCTAGAGATATTAATACAACTTCAAAGTTCTCTCCTTTCTCCTTGAGTTTCTTGTAAACCTCTGCAAGTTTCGTGGTAAATTCAAGGCATTCTCCATGAGCACTTACGAAGAAATACAGGCCAACCATCTTTCCTTCAAGCTCTGGTACAGGAATCTGATGATAAACATAGTGAAGATCATTGACAATGCCATTGGACTCATTGAACATACTACGAAAACTAGGCCTAGGGCAGTGTTAGCAATAAATGAACAAAAACATTACCTTATTACCATCATTTGAAATCACAAAATCGCTGGAGCTAGAAACCAAGATAGACTTCAAGGATTGTTCCCTCTTCGCGGCCTCTTCTTCCTCTTTCAAAATGTTGATTCTTTCGGGCGTAAATGGATACGCCTCAGCACCATAGTCTCTAATAACTCTAACCCCTTGATCAGATGAAACCTTACCAGTACCGTCAAGGATAACAAGATGAGGGATCCCACTGACTTTAAACAACTCTTTGATGCGTTTACGCGTCTTAGTATCAGAAAATGGAATGGCAAGCCATGGCATTTTGGCAAAGTAGCCATTAAATGATTCATCATCTTCATCGGACGAAATGAAGACGACTTCAAAATCACCTTTAGTTGAGAGTTCTTCATAGACTTCCACCAAAGTTGGGGTAAAATGGCAACATGGACCACACCATGAACCAGAGAAATATAACCCTACTATCTTTCCAACCAAATTACCTATTTTAGCCTGCAAATATCACATCCATTTAATAGATCATATAATTTTTCTTTTTGACAGATAGTATAATTGATATAGCACTAATTACACTACACTACAGCTTAAATTTGGAAATAATATCCGCACTCCACTTTTCCATTAATTCCAATCACAAGGAGATAAAAGTGCGGGAAGCTTATCATTTTAGTGGTTAGCTCCTTTAATTTACATGTATCCACTTTTTTTTCAGATTTGGCACCAAGTAGGTGGTTATGTTATAGAGATCAAAACATGATTTGCAAGCGGGAGTGTCACCAATGCTTGGATATGGGGAGAGTGAAAATATTACGAGTTATATTTAGTTTATTATTATTGAGATTTTCCTTTCAACTACTTGACCAGTGTTATTAAAGGCTTAAGGCGCTAGAGGTCCTTTGGAGCCTAGGCGGGAGGCGCATGGCAAAGCGTGCGCCTGAATGAAGTGAGGCGCATAATTGAAATTTTAAACGACCATAATAGCATTCATATCTCACAAGTCATATCAATATTCTAAAAATTACTATCAAATATAAAAAAGTAAATCCATCAACTATATAAGCATTCAAGAACCATAAAACATAGCACAAATTTGTTTTCTTGAAAGGCAAAACAGAGTACAAAAAGGAATAAATCTATTAAAAAAAACTGTTAACAAGAAAAGAAAAAATAGAGCCAAAAAAACAGAAAAAAAAAAAGATGCAGAGACAAAAGAAGTAGATGAAGATAGAAGTAGATGAGAAAAAGGAGAAAATAAGAGAGCCCAAAAAAAAATAGACAGAGAGAAAAAAACTAGACGGAGAGAAAGAAGTAAACAAAGATGTGAAGAGAGGAGTGGAGGAGAAGAGAGAAAAGAAGAGGAAGAAGAAGAAAGAACTGATATGGCTTCGTCATTCGTCTCTGCCACTAGGGCTTCGTCGTTGCTCTCACAGTCTCACTCTTTCTATCTTCGGTCTTGGACTTTCTTATTTGTTTATTCTTTTAAACAAAAAAATCCTTTTTTGACATGCTTAGGCTTTCTTATTTGTTTATTAAGTTGCCAAAAGTACCCTTTTTGGCTTCATAGATAGAACAATCATTGAAAAAAAAAAAAAGGAAGGCGCACCTAGCCAAATAGGACGAGGCACAACCGAGATGTGTGTCTAGTAAATATCAGTGAGCCTGAGATGACAACAGGTGCTAGACCTGCGCCTTGAGCCTAGGCGCGCCTTTAACAATACTGCACTTGACCATTAATACAACTGGTATGACCTCTTCTTCCTCAAAGGAGAGTTGAGGGCTTGAGCCCATAGTGGACATTTGTGGGGGTGTGTGTGAGTATTTATCTAACCACTATATATATATATATATATATATATATATATATATATATATATATATATTTTTGTAATGTGATTTTCCTTATGTATAAGATTTGTTAACTAGTGTTTGATTAGGATTTCATTTTAGTTGCCTATGTATATGATATGTATATATGTATATATATATAGGGTTCCATAAATTCAAGTGGTAATTTTTTATAATTATGAGATACAAATTTTCTTTACCCTAATTTCTTCTTCTCTTCTGTATTGTCTTTATCAATTTGATATCAAAGCACTTTTTTAGCTACCAATAAGAACAATATATGTAAAACAAACAAAAGCAAGAAAAGATCACTCACATAAAAAATTGAGAAATTTATATTAGTTTATTTCACAAGACAAGTTAAAATTGAGAAATTTATATTAGTTCTCTTCTCTTCTCTCCTCTATTGGGGAAACTGAGAAAAGAAAAGAAAAGCATCTAAAGATGATGAAATGCATCAGTTTATTATTACCCATGAAAGATCATAGATTGAAGGTTATAACAAGATAAAAAAAAAAAAATAACCAAGAAATTAAACATGGTAAGTAAGACAATTAACGTTGTACCTGGTCACCATTGTTGCGGATAAGGAAGTCCCTTTCTTCTGAGGGGAGAAGAGAGAGGAGATCGTGAGAGACGGTGTCGTTTTTCGCGTTAGCCATTTGTTTCTAGAACTTCTCTAGCATAAACTCCGTGTTGCTTGGGGTTGGTGATTATATATATATATATATATATGGTATAATTACTAATACATGGGCTTAAGGCCCAAATGTTACTTAGAGAATATTTCTCTAAAATAGATTTCACTTTATGCTTTATACCACAAAAGAACTTATATTACTAAAATGACCCAAAGTAATATTTTAATATAATAAAAAGTCTTAGATCATGAAAGAGAATTACAGCAATGTCGTTGAACAAAATATTTAATATTTTTTTCTTTTCTTTTTAATTTTTCGCCATAAATTAAAATTAAACAGTAACTTAATTAAGACTTATAGACTTCTTTAGACAAAAGATCGCATATATAAATTATATTTAATGAAACAGTATAGCTCTGATACCAAAATTGAGACGGATTCGATCAGATAAAAGCATGCAAAATAACATAGAATAGAATCAATTTAACAATTAAATCACAGAAATGACTGCCGAACCTGATATCGCTCTGATAACGCCATGTAAAAATGCCTGAATACCGGCAAAGAACGGGCCAACAAGCCAACAGTTCGAGTCAACTCACAGAAGAAATTGCTAAATTAAACTAAGACTGCTTGTACTGGTTGGAATCTGTGAAAATTCTAGGATCTACACTGTCTGGCTAAATAAAATCTATATATTTGATCTATTTGTCGACAGAAGTCTTTTACCCGAAAGTACTGAAAATACTAAATAAGAAAAAGAAATTTGTTGAACAGGAGCAAACTAAATGATTTATTTCATGGAAAATATATACATAGATATACATTGTTTATACATGGATACACTCTCACACTATATGTTACAAAGGAAATATACTGAAGGAAGTCACAAAAGAAAACACACTGGAAACTGAAGGCTATGATGCTTGATGGTTCGAGACTTGTTTGCTCTAAAACTCGATGATCGTTACTTGAGCAGAGAAGCTTCTTTTATAGCAGAAGAGAGGGATGAATCGGCGGTTGAGTTTGAAGATGCAGCATGGATGGTTGAGATTCAAGATGCTTTAGAGATAAGATGACATAAATTATGGCTGAACTGTTGATGTCTTCTTCTGGAGAATTATATCTATTTTTTGCTGTTGAGAATCTGCTTTTGGTGGATCTGCTTTAACTGTACACTATTGAGGATTTACCTTTTCTTGGATGTTGAAGTTGCCTTTATCTTTAGACTGTGGAGAATTTGCTTTTCCTCAAAATTCGTGCATATTATCCAGATTTCTGTCGGTTGGGCTAGCTGGTGAGATATCTCCTCTGTGCATGCGGGCCAGATATTCATCAGTGCTGTCTGGTGAGCTAGTTTCTTCGTTACTGTAAGTCAGTTCAAGCTGTTCTAACAGCATCTTTTCCTCGTTTATTATTTCTTCGACTTCCGGGGATATCTCAATCTCTGGAGGAGACTTAATGATATGAGGAATTCTTGCCTTAACAAAAATTTTCATGTTGATATTATGATCGTAGAGTCTGAAACCAGGATTGTAACTTTGGTTAATTTGTCGATAAGCTTTATAGTACACCAAACGGTTAAAGGTAGTAGGGTCAATTTCAACACGAAAGTTATTTGCGAAATCAACATGTCGTGTTAGAATCTTGACTTCAGTTGGATCAGAATGAATGTAAACTTGATGCTGTCCCAAAATTATCGCTCCATCTTTTACCCATTCTGGGGGAGTACTGTGGATTTGAAGGAGAATTGGACTTTGTGGCATAAAATTCTAGGTTATTTTTTGTTCGACGGCGATGGCTTGGTTTAAACGGTTGGGAAAATTACACAGAGAATTAAGATATTCTAAAGGCGTATCCTTGGGTATTGTGACACTGTAGATCATTCCTAGTTTTAACAGCTTACTTAAATAACAAATGGTTGTTTTGGTAGAGAAAATGGTTTTTCTAGTTATTTCAAAGGAATAAAGAAAATAGGATCTACATCTAACAAGATAACGGACATAGGTATCTGGGTGCCTGTTTGTATAAATCGTAGGAAAAAATAGTTATATCGGGTTCCTTTGGGTGGACTGTTATTTTTTAGGTAGTTTTGGATATCAACCCATGCGGTGAAACCATCAGACTTAATCTCTTCAAGGATAAGGTCTTTGAGATCATCAGGGAAGAGCTCAACTTGTTGTCTTAGGATTTCTCTGTAAGTTGAGGAAAAGAGGGGTAGAAGCTTAGCATGCTTGGTTTGTACCTGCAAAAATTGAACTTTCTGAAGATTTTCATCTTTATTAGTTATTTGTTCGGAAATGGTTAGCTCTGTGGGGTTTTCTGTTGATCTTTGATAGGCTAAATTCAACTTTTTATAATGAGATATAAGAATCTCATGCTCCTTTTGTAAATTCTGATATGCTGTATTAGTTGATATAAAATATTCACTTAAGGTATTTAAATTTTTGACGAGGGTTCTATCGGGGTTGTGTCGAGAAAACCAAATATTATCTAAAATAAGTTTTTGGTCAGGAAAAAGATTATGTCTAGCGCGGAACTGCTGAGTTGGGTTTTGGATAATTAAAAGAGGATTAGAAGTGCCTGGTATAAGGCTATACCTATTGTTGCTCTTGATCTCCATTCCTGCAAAATTTAACAATCGATTAGTAAACGAAATAGAATATCCGCTATATAATTATCTTTTCCTCTGACATGTTCGAATATTGGTTTAAAACCTCTTCCAGTAATACAGTCAATAAAGAAAATCCATCTCTTAGCAGACATCCGCTGTTGTTTTGCTTTATTTGCAAATTTAACTATGTTATCACAATCTGTTCGTATAAGAAATTCTTTACCAAGAAATATCTGAAATTTTTCAATAGAGTTGGTTACTCCTAGAATTTCTAAGTCTGTTGAGGGTAAAATAGATTGTGTTTTATTAAAAGTTCCACTAGCATGGCGACAAATTTGTTCTTCATCTCGAAAAGATTCTTTTGTTGGTCTTTGAAGAAGTAATTCTGTCCATCCTTGAGCTGATGCATCTGTTTGAATAAATTTATAACTTTTTTCAAGTGGGAGTTGTAAAGGTTCTAACTGAGAGACTAAAGATTTAATTTTCTTAACTAACTCCATATCTTGGGTATTAAAATACTTTTGACCATGTTTTCCTAATTTTGAATATAAAGGTCTTACTAATTCTCCTAATTTGGGAATAAAATTACGACCATAGTTTAATAATCCTAAAAATGCTTGTAGCAACTTGGTTTCTTCTAATTTATCAGGAAAGTCTAGAATCTTTTTGACAATATGGGATTGCAATTCTATTTTTCCATCTTTTATGTATAAACCTAAGAATTCAATATCTTGTTTTTCTAATATCATCTTTTTACTACTTATAATGAGTCCTTGTGTTATAAATTCATTGAATATAATTTCAAGATGTTTTCTATGCTTTTCTTTAGTTTGACTGAAGATTAAGATATCGTCGATGTAAACACAACAAAATTTTGAGTGTTTATTAAATATAGTATCCATTTTACGCTGAAATTCTTGTGGCGCATTTTTTAATCCAAAAGGCATAACAAACCACTCATAATGTCCTTCAGGACATGTAAACGCTGTCCATTCAATGGATTCATCGGCCATCTAGATTTGCCAAAATCCTGATTTACAGTCAAATTTAGAAAACCATTTTCTATCTTGGATTCGATTTATTAAAACATCTTTGTTAGGGATTTTATAATTATCATCATAGGTATTATTATTTAATCTTTTATAATTTATAACCATACGAGCCTTTCCTCTTTTTATTTCGGCATGATTTCTAACCATAAAAGCTGGACTCCTATGTCTACTATTACTTTTTCTTATTACTTTTAGTAATAATAGTTCTTTAATTTGTCTTTGGAATTATTCTTGATCATCTAAGGTATGAGGATTATCTTGTATCTTTATGGTTATAGATTTATTATATTTAATTTTGCTTCAATTTTATTTTTATACCAATGTTTCTGGGGGTTTTCACCTAAAATTTCTGTGGTTTCAGCTAATCTTATGAGATTATCAATGTTTAGTTTTTTAATATAGCTTTATTATTAAGGAAAATCTTTGGTTCATCAAGATGACTAAGAAACATTAAGGCTTCAGAAACATCTTCTAAAAATTCGGAAACATCAAATAAATTTTCAGTCGTTTCTTCTGTCATAGGTAAAGTATTAACATATGTAATGGCTCCCTTATCTTTTTGAGGAATATAAGGATTGCTAGATGGAATAAAGGTTCCTTTCTTAAAAAATTGTAAACCTGTAGGGGTATACATAAATCCTCCGGTAAGTGAGTTTATAAAATTTAATCCTAAAATAAAATCATAGGTGCTAGAAATATTATTAACTACGTAAGTCTGGGGTAAAACAAACTTTTCATTATTAATTAATATCGGAATGTTCTGAACACAATGGGTTATTGAAAGTTTTTCATTATTATACTGGCTCATGTTAACATTATAATTTAATTTTACTAAGGCTTCGTTTAGGACTAAATGTTTTTGAATTATACTTTTAGATGCTCCAGTATCAAGCATAGCTGAGGTTTGAACTAATTTTTCTCTAAATTCTAATGTCATTGGGAATTGAATTAGACTAGATGGTTTATATATTGAATTTATAGATTCGACTAAAATATCTTCTTGCGTATCTTCATATTTTGTGTAGCAATTATGGCATAATAAAGTTTTACAGGTTTTCACAGTAATGACCGTTTTTAATAGATGTATTGCACTGTTTACAATTATAAGAAGAAAATTGAAAATTAACTAAGGTATACTGACATGAGGGATTGCTTATAGTGTGGACGAAATCTTCTAGTGAATGAAGCCCTTGTTCAAAGTCTTCATCATTATCAAAGTTACTATCTAAGCTCTCGATACTATATATACTTTCATTATCATCGTCAGAGTCATAAATACTTTCTAGTTTATATAATTCTTCTATCTGTTCTTCAATATCTTCAAGTATATTGATCTTTTCTTGTATCCTTTTAATAGGATTCTGTTTGTATCGATGAGGGCAATTTGGT